GGTAGAATTCTAAGACTTCTGAGAGCATTACGAATGCTGTGTACTCATGCAGTGTTTCTGAAACACAGCCACTCAGAAATACATCTGTAGAAATTTTCCTAATAGCATAACATAGTCACTAGTGTAATTTGTTAGTACCTAACATTCTGCCTTTCAGCTTTCAGGACTTCATGGACCAGTGTTTTGGTATGTGATAAAATATAGCTCCTGAATCCCTGTTTCAATGATCCAACTAGAAGTAACCTGAATTTCAGGTCAGTGGTGATGCACAAACTCCACTGAAGTAAATTACAGATATCAGTGGATTTTAGCCTTGTTTCCATAGGCTGTAATCATGGTATATTTGTGCTTATGAAGACAAGGGGGAGAAAGAGAATAATTCTTTTTATTAGTTGGTTTTTTTTTTAGCCAATTGAAATCCAATTTAAAGAGAGAACGAGGTATCAAGTAATAAATTCCTACATGTTTTCTGAACATCAGCAGTTTGATAGAGAACAGACCCTTATATCAACACAGTTGCTATTGCATTAACATAGGATTCAAGTAAACATTTGATTCTAACACTTTGCTTATCCATAAGGCTTAGCTGTTACCTTGCACTCTGGTTATCATTTGGGGTTTGGAGAAATTGCTCATCAGACAGGGAGACTCAGAGAGGACTGGCTTGTGCTTGAGTTCAGCTGGTGTAGGCATTGTGGGTGCAGTTGGCTTAAACCTTTTTGGCCCTGAAATTTGATCTTGTTTGAGCACTGATACCAGACACAGGAGATGAGTAGCTTCCCACTTGGTGCAGTGAGCAGTCCTGGGCCAGTCACTACCTGATCTGTGAGCCTGTCTGCATTAGCCAGTCAATGGACACAAACATACCCCTGAAACAGTCATAGCATGTATGCAGAGCAAGGCAAAAAAGGCTAGGTAGCAGACATGAGGTGGTGACAGTAGTGCAGGGCTGGGGAGAGAGACCATGGAGTGGATCTCAAACTGATGAGGATCCTAACGAGGGTTGTGTAAGGTATATGAGGAAGCTGGAGTGTGCTGGGACATTCATGGGTACCATGTGAGACCCAAAGTCAGGAATATAGAGGTGCTATAGAAATGGGGAGATCAAACTGAGAATATTGGGACAAGAGTGTCATGGAAGTACAGGAGGAGTTTGGGATACGTAGAATCTAAGTGACTGGAAACCAAACATAACTTAGTTCTGCTGCTCATGGAAGTGCTTATGTTAAATTCAAAGTTGAGTTTGAACTTGTAGCTGGACATTTTAGCCAAGGAGTTTCAATCAGAGGAACAGATTACTGGGCCATTCTGTCCCATAAAAAGAGGTGATTTACTTAGTTTTCTGCCTATGCTGGAAAATTATAGTTTTCTCCGAAACTGGAAGACTGGATTACAAGTACCCTGTGAGCTTGTTGGCTTTGGTTTGTGTTCTTCTGTCATTTATTATAAACCCAAACCACACAGAATTAACGTGAAGTTAAGGCACAGATTGTTATTACACTGAAAACATTTCAAGGAATTAAAAGAAAGGTCTCCACATTTTTAGTATTTATTGTAGGCTTTAAAGAAATGTTAGATTGTAGAAGTGGTATTCACCTTCAGTGTCAAAGGTACCCATCTCATCATCTTGGCAGACTTTCGTTCCTATCTTTGCAGTTTAAATAGCTTTTGTGCATCTTCTGTGTTTCTTGCATTTCTAATAGTTTATCAGCTTCAGGTAGAAATTACTGCTTTGGTAGTTTTTAAGATCTGCTATGGTATACTGCATGTACACTGCATTTTATTGAGAAATTTTATCTGGGCTTTGGAGAATTTGATATACCCAACACGTCTTTTTATATCTCCATACTATGATTGGGGAATAAGGAAAACATAGCAGCTGTTCAAATTTCTGTATAATCCATTCCCATGGTCTATGTTATAATCTTAAAGTGTTGGTACTGTAATACTTAAAACACAGCAGAACTGGACAACTAAGATGTTACCTTCTTGTTTGGGAAAAAAATAGTCTAGCCTCAAGTGCCAACTGTGAGACTGTCAAGTAAAAGTGCTTGCTCAGTAACACACATTCTCATGGCAGCTACTATATATTTCTGCTCTACACAAGGGAGTAGCCTAATGGAATATATTCCTACCTAGTTTTATGCTTCCAGGAGAAGAATCAAAATAAATAAGAGCTTATGCTTAAATACTTCTTGCATTCTTCTAGAAAGAATCATCTTGGCTCAACTTCAGGAATGTTACGTTTAGGTGCTTATTTCTGGTCTTTTTCTGGGATGCTGCTTTTAGATAATGAAATTTTGCCAAAAATTGCCAAACTATTCCCTGCTATATAAAGAAACTCATGGCATTTCAGAGACACTCTTATGCCTTTTTAAGAAATAACTTCTGTGTGTGTTTAAATGAGATGTTGTGTTTGCTTGGTAATGCAGTCCATTTTATTCTCCATCATTAAGTATAAAATAAGAAGCTACAACATGTATTTATGTACATGACTTGATCAAATGGATTTACATACACCTGTCTACACTGATTTACCTGCTGGTGTCTAATTTCTATATATTTTGTTTTGTAATGTAATGTCTTTAGCTGTGTAGGTGGATAGAATAATACAGAGAAAATTGAAGCAAGGAGTTGATTATTTGCTGGCTACAAATAAACGAGAAAGACTTTTACACAGTGATTGCTCTTTTAAAGGATGGTTCCTGTATAGGCAATTGCTTGTGCTAAAATTACATGCCAGACACTCAGCTCTGAGAAGCCTTTGTACCTCCTTATAGTTTTACTGATTGTTGCTGCAGTTCCTGCTAAAATAAGAAAAAGCAAGCTCCAAGGTAGGGTATTCAGATAAAATGCAGACTATAGTCACTGGAAGATATCTCCACTTGACAGTGTCAAAAGTCCTCTCATGAAGGGCTAGAAACTTCACTGCCCTTCTTAGTGAGGATTAGTGCTATACTGCCATTTGCATATGCCATTGTGGCAAAGAGATTTGCCTTACTCAGAAGTGAAATGAGGAAAAAGACTTTTTCAGGTTGCTAGGTGTGGCCAACACATCAGAGTTGATTTTGGGGAAGACAGAACTGGCTGAGCTATACTGATCAATGAAATGGTAACAAAAATAAGTGAAATTTATTTGAGAGCATGGAATAACATTATCTTCTGGACAAAGCTGCTGTGACTGAGACTGGATTGAGGAAGGTGAAGGGGGGTGAAAGGTGCAGAAATACATTAACATAAATGGACAGTTGAAATCAGAGTTGCACCAATTTAAAACTGAGAGGAGATGAAGATCCGAGTTCAACATAATGGAGTCTCAGGGCCTTTAACCTTGTAACTGCTGCCTGTTAGTTAGGCTCTGAATAACCTCTAGAAGAAATCACAGTAGATTTTTTTTTTTGCATTTTTAGAAATGTACCTGCTTTGCTTCTTAAATCAGTCTCTTGCTTCAACATGCTATGAACTAGGCATATCTGCTAGTGCTAATATGACATGTGACCTGTTTTTTGTGGCCACATGCAAGGTTTTAAGCTGCAGAAGCAATGAGCAAACAAGTGAAGTCCGTTGACATAGGAGTAGTAGGTCATGAGGGGAAAGGGGGATGGAGAGAGTGAAGTGACTGACCTTGCTATAAATGGTGCCACATATAGGGGTGGTAGGAGAATGTGAGCTGGCATCAGGTAAGACCTATGACTGTAAGATACTGAGGGTGTAGCAACTTCCTGCCTCTGCTTTGTGTATATACCTAAGGTGAACTAAACTTTAAGCACACAGTGGAGTCTGAATAGATCTGGGTAAAGGTGATGTGAGAAGCCTCAAACTAAAGTTAGTGCCCTGATTTTTGGTTCTCTCAAAAATACAGAACTTGACCAAGGTTTCTAAATAGCTTGCTAAGGTTCAGCAATTGTTAAGGATGTGTGGGCCTTGCTGCCTTGTAAACCAGGCTAAGTTATGGCATTAATTGAAATTTACACCTCTCAATATGTTTTAATTCAAGGATTTTATATTGTACAAAATGAAACCCAAAGGGAAGTTCAATGTGCAGAATCAAAAAAAGGTGGTCCTGCCTCCTGTAGACTGAAATCACTGTGCCTATTACATACACAGTATTTTTATGGTAAATGTTTTCTAAAACTGTTAATACAAATTCACATAAATGCAAACCACAGCTACTGTAAGAGACCATACTTCTGTAAATTTCTTGCTTTAGTTACAGCTAGGGAGAAAGCTACATCTATTACCCCTCAGAGCATGAGAAATGTAGTTAGATAAGAAGGAAAACTAATGCTTGCTCTGTATGGCTCAACAATGAAGGCAAACATGGAATTGTCTTTGTCAATCACATTAGAGAAGTTTTAAGAAATGCAGTTATGTGATGCAAAGCCATACTCAACAGTCACACAGATACTGACATAATGTACAGTGTCACAAAAGCATAGAAAATAGTTGTACAACCATGTAAATGATAAAGATCCTCCACAGTACTCTACAAAACATACTACAGATGTATCTCTCTTACTCAAAGATATTCATCACACTTGTGAAAGGCAGCCTTATGTTAGGCAATGCAGGAAATGAAAGCTTAAACACCCTCAGACAGCTAGAAATTTCTACTCGTAGGAGACTGAATCTATTTTATAGAAAGTATTCTGGAAGTATCCATTCCAAGAAGATTATAACTGATACCAGTTTCATTTTCAACCAGTATATTTTCAAACCAGTACATTTTTAAATTAGCTTCAGCAGAAGTTTTTGTTAAAGGTCAAATAACCTGAAATCTATAGTCTCAGAATGTAGATTTCCACTGATAAATGTTTGTTGTAAACATTTTCTGGTAAACACAATTATAAATGCCATATTTTAAGGGAACATAACACTCAAATCCCCCCCCAGAACTCAAACCCCAACAGACTGATGACCAGACAGTCAATACTACTTAATTTTTGTAGCATAAACATTTCAAAGAAAGCTCATGAGCACTATTTTGGATAGGGTATTACCTTTTTTCTTTCCTCCATATGTATTTGCTGGGATGATGATATAAGAGAGCAATAAAAATGAAAGAAGTTGCAAACTTTTCATTTCTTCTTTCTCTGAATGAGTTGGGGAATGCACTGCTCAATTCTGCCAAGAGATGGGAAAAAGAGAGAATTACCAATGCTTTGCAAGAAATTGTTTGCCCATTAATCATTAACCTTAAATTCTCCTGTCCCCTGCTCTGGTCTCTCCTTTTATGGAAGTAAAAATGGAATTTGCTGGTTTCCAACCTCTTCTTTTTTATTTTCTGCCACTTGTGGCAGGAATAATTTGGAACTGGATTGTCCTCCCTTGCACAACAGTGCTCGGCTCTGAACACAGTGGGCTTCAGGGCATTTGTTCTCTGGTATACTCCTAAAGGCCATGAATAGACAGCTCAAATTTGGTTGGTCAACATCTCAGTCTGAACACATTGCAAAAGAGCTGAAGGTTAATCTAAATATTTCACTAACAGAGACAAATCCCAGTAAGGGAAGCATCAAAATTTTATATATACAATAAATACTTACTTCAGTGACAAAATTGATACCAGGTTTTGGATAGTTGCAAAATGTTTCAAATTAAGTGAGCAATTTTTATCACATAAAAAATTTGATAATGAAGCACAATAAGCAACAGCATCTCTCTCCACTTCTGGTGAAACAATCATAAGGAAGTGTATGTAGTGGATGCAGGAGTCATTGCAGAGAAAAATATGTATACATGCAAATATGGAAATCAAAGCAGAATCTTAATTAGCGCTGTGTGCGTATATGCCACAATGAATAGGTGAGTCCTGTAAAGTGTGACAGGGCAAAAAGTACTCTTGGTTATTGTTGTGGTTTAAGTCCAGTCAGTAACTCAGAATCACGTAGTTGCTCTCTCACTCCCCCCTTCCTCCCCCCCACTCCCGGAGGGATGGGAAGGAGAATCAAAAGAATGTAACTCCCACAGGTTGAGGTAAGAACAGTCCAGTAACTAAGGTATAACACAAATCACTGCTGCTACCACCAATAATAACAATGATAAGGGAAAAGAATACAACCGCTCACCACCCGCCGACTGATATCCAGCCCGACCAAGCAGTGATCTAGCCCTTCTGGGTAACTGCCTTCAGTTCTACATCCTGGGCATGATGTGCTGTGGTATTGAATACCTCTTTGGCTAGTTTGGGTCAGGTGTCCTGTCTCTGCTTCCTCCTGGCTCCCCCTCCTCCCTGGGAGAGCATGAGGCTCAGAAAGTCCTTGGTCAGACTAAATATTACTGAGCAACAACTAAAAACATTGGTGTTATCAGCACTGTTCCTAGGCTGAAAGTGAAAAACACAGTACTGCACCAGCTACTAAGAAGGAAAAATATGACTGCTACTGCTGAATCCAGGACAATTATGCAGCAAGTATTGCCACAAAGTGGGATCTTGCACAGGGACAGGACACAGTGCTGTCTTCTGGGTCTTGTTAGCATCAGTCTGGAGCATCATAGTTTTCTCACATCAGTCAATGTTCTTGAGACCTACTCCAGCTTATTTTAAAGTAACTGAGTGCCATTTATGATGTAGCCATGGCAGCACAGGCTTGGCATGGGCTGCAAATCGATCTGCATTTCCACTAATTGTTGGATTGCCAGCGTATTTGGGTTGATGTTGCTAACCTCCACCGCTACCTGCATACCTGAGCTAGTATATGATTAGCTAAATAGGCAGTCAGCATTGTGGAATTTCCCTGAGACATAGTTCTCTGGCACAGTAAACTGTCTTGAGGTTTTGAATGTGTCCTCATGTGCTGAAAAAGGGGTGATGGTGTAAATTCTTTTCTAAACTTAGTTTGTTAAGGATTTGCAGTTAGTAATAGCAAGTAGAAACGATGTTTTAAGAATTCTACAAGTATCTGTGTTGGACTAAACAACTGAAACAGCTTGTAAACTTAAAAACTGTGTTTTCAGTATTCAGTGACACCCAGATTTTTTATGAAGCCTCGTGTCACAATTACTGTGTCTAGAATGTGTGATATGATAGCTATACCTCCCCACCTTGAGGAATTTTTCATTCTTCATTGTTTTTATCATTAAGAACTATGTCAAAGTGTCCCAGCTTAAAGATTTTTCTCTCTAGAAGACAGTAAATCTCATAGGACCCATATGCCCTACCAGAACTACAAAAAAAGTATTCTCAGCAGGGAATCTCTGCTGTCATGTTTGACTCATTGTTTTGGCATACAGGAGCATGCTTCATGGTGTGTGGCCCATGGCGCTGGATGTTGCATGAATAAAGGAGAAAAGTACAGAGCACTCCTCAGTCCAAAGAGCTTTGAGCCTGGGATACATCAGACTGCTAGAAAACTCTACAAGCAATCTCTAAGGTCATACTAGTCACCACAGTTGACTGATTGATCAGTCTGTGTCTGTGGACATATAGTAATAAAGTGGGAATACAGAAACTGAGGTGATAATGACCAAACTGACTGGCTGATAAATACTTTTTGCAGCAGTATTTTGAAAGAATGCAAGCAAGAAAAGGATTTGCAGTAACTGCGATGGGACAGAGAACTTGGACAAGAATTTAGGCTGTCATGGTGGACAGGAAATGCTGTATTTTAGTAAAGTTAATGCTGGTGAAAATTATTGTTAAAATTTAGCACAGACTTGTAGAGAACTTAGTCAACTGTAAACTGAAGATGATGTGAAGATTACAGAACTGACTCACAGGTTGAATGGTGATACTAGACACAGTAATCAAGAAAGCAGAAAGCATTTAAGGGGCAAAAGATTGTAAGATCTATTTTCTTCAGACAGGAATTGTTCTAGAACAGGGTGGTAAATCTATTGGGTACAGAACAGACTGTTGGCTCTTTGTGAGGAGGTTGACTGGAAGTAAAGACTGTAGAGGTCAGTCTTTGGATTTACTTCTCACTTGAGAACCCATATAGGAAATCAGAATGGCATTACAAACATCTTATGAAGGGTTGCTTAAAGCAGTAATAGGAAAACTGGGAAAAAGCTTATGAAGGATTGCTTCAAGTGGTAAAAGGAAAACTGGAAAAATAAGAGTTGCAAAAGGAGGAGGAGTCTGCCTTCCTCTCTGCTATTTGCATCATTTAAGTAGCAATTTGTCTTTTCAGTGTTGACAGAAAATCAGCAATAATGGTGGGAGAGCAAAGCAGTGTTGTGGGAATACTTGTACAGCATTTGAACAAGAGATTCCACAGTATGTATTCAAGATGAGTTTATGTAGCACAGAATTGCTTGCTATGGCACATTAGTCCACAGAGAACAGATGCAATTGTGTTCCAGAGGACGGAGTTGCTCCCAGTGGCCTCTAAAACATTGTCACACAATGTTTTTTCGGAGTGTGGGTTTGGTGGTTTATTTTTGGGTTTGGGTTGTTGTGGGTTGGATTGTTTTTTTTTTCCCTTAGGTCTCTTCTCCATTTGATTTACATGAGTAATTCCAATTACCTTTATTATCTACTCATAAAGAAAAGAATGGGTCTCCTGCCATGTAATGAACATTAGAGGTAGAAGACTCCTGATAAATAATTTTCCTGTGAATCCACATACTGAAGTCATAATCATTGCCATCTTCACTGTGTTTATCTGGTCACTTGGTGAAGTTATCTACTTTGCTTAAGCTGCTGTTTCTCAGCTTGGTTAATTGTTATGTTTGGATAGCATACATAATATTCTATAAATACATCACCAAAATTGTTTTAGGAATTAGTTCCTTACATAAAAAGCATAACAAGAAGGAGTCTTTGGTGCATTATGAGAATAGGAAAATTTGAGACAGGCATTTGTCAGAAGGGACTGTGCAATAGCTACTCAGAGTTACTTGTAGCATGTTGTTATCACATACTGAAATGGCTTTTTTCAGGCACATTTGAAATTGTATGCACTGCAGTGACTAGGAGCTGCAATATTCTGAGTGAAATTAATTGTGAAAAATATTAGATGCTCTGGGTCTTCATATTAGTGCATTAGTCAATCACAGCGAATGCTGTCCGAATGAAACTGGGTACTTTTGAGATACAAACAGTTGTCTGCTGGCCTGCCAGGGCAATAGGAACTCTTAAGAGTGCTCTGCTACAGTTCTGAATCACTTGCAGTGACAAAATTTCCAACAGTTAAATACAGCACAGGTACTAGAAAATAAGGGAACAAAAATCTCAGGGACTGTAAAGAAAGCTGAGAGATTGATGTAGGTAAATGACACCTGGAATATACAAGCTACACTGTGTCCTGATGTGACTTTCAAGAGTGAGTGCAAGGTTCATTCTTTAGAGTTGGGTATGTGTTACTCATGCTCTGGGTGAGGCAAGTGGCTAGTTTGGTATTTGTAAAAACCTGGAGTCTTAAAAAAATGTATGAAATTAAGTTCTTAAATTTAATGTTTAAATATGTTAACTGCAAAATTTAAAGGATCCATTGGTAGTTATTATTTTACCAAGTGAGAAAAATCTGATCTCTCTTTTCCATAACACCCAGCATTTGCACATTACTTCATTTTCTGCACTGAAATCACTCATACTTACTGTAGTGATCTGGATTTTTAAAAATGCTAAATCTAAAAATAGATAATCCAAACTGCTCTTCTGTGAAACAGATAGAACACATATTTCGTGCAGCATGAAGGCTAGTGCTTTGCCTACTTCACATGAAATAGAACCTTTTCCTAAACCCACAGCACCCAAAACCAAATTTGTAGTTTATGTTGCTGTGTTTATATCTAGTTCGCATGTACTGTAAGAGGGCTTGATACCCTTCTCTCTTCTGCTAGAGATGCTGCTTGTACAACATATACCCAGGAGGTATACTCTCAATCAGAATCCCCATCTGCTTCTTAGCTAATGTTCCAATTATAGTTAGACTTCTTGCACATATTCACATCTATAATAAAATTGATGGTTTCACTATTGAGAGGCAGCATGTGACTAATCGTGCATTGTACCATGCAAGCTTTTACTTAAATATATCCTTCTAATCAAGTTAAAGGAAGGAACATGAAGCAGAAATTTGTCAGGCATACAGTCCTGTTCTTTTCCTGAGACCACACTGTTCATCAAGATGGTTTTCAATCACCTGAAGACCAATAACACTGTAGTACAAATTGTTCTTTCAGGTTTAGAAGAGATTTTATGGGCC